TGACAAACTTCTACTGTACACTTAACTATGGTACTCCCTAGTACTGTACTTAATATACTACTAGATCATCCTTATTCTCTACTTTCCGCACAGGCTTCCCACAGAATTTCAAATCATGATCAAATCTGCTGGCATTTTCAAGTCATACCTTGGTTGTACTAGAAGCTTGCCTAGAGGCCATTCCAACAAAATACCAGAACGAACTCCTCCAAGGAAAAAAAAAAAAAAAAAAGACAATTTTATCACCTTGCCCTCCACAGATAAAGCACACTCCTGTGAGTTTACCAGCTGCAAAGCCAGGGAACTGCATTTAAAAAAGAGACTTAAAATGCTAGAAAAGCAAAAGATGTCATTGCATATGCTTCTCCTGTTAAGGGACGGGATACGGCAGTGTGTGCACATGCACTCACACAGATGCAGACACACAACTGAAATGAAAGCTGGAAGTTGCTTACACTCTGGTGGTAAATACAGCACAAGAGCCTAGATGTAAGTCCTATTTCATTGTGCAGCAAATGATCATTCTGCCCTGTGTTGACATTCACTGGAGGGGTTGAAATTTAGTCTTCCAGCAGAGCACACAATAGGTAACTATCCTGGGTAGGACAGCAAGATGTATTTCCAGCAGTGAGATGAGAGGTTCACCACAACAGAAAGGGTGGGAGGCACAAGCACTTTGATAAGTTAAGAGGATGAAAAGTCTATTTATATTTTTTAATTAACCATGTTCTACAGTGTTATTAAGCAGCAATCAAAGATGCAGATGGTACTGATTTGATTGGCAAGAGGTGCACTGTGCTGAATATTAAGGAACTCTGCCCCTATAAATAGGTCTAATCACCATCTGAAGGCTGGAAGGCAGTGATGAAAGAAAGCATTAATAAGACCATAATTAGGCCCCGTAGCAGGCTGTACTCCACCAGGGTGCTCATGTTACTAGACGTCTCTTATAGTAGCATCTTCAAACTCTGTTGTAGATGTTACTGCTACTGGGTCTCAAGACCTCTAGTAGTTATTTTAGACAAAGCTACGAAGAGCGGGGTTTCTCCATCTTTGGAGGGCCTGGCATCAGTTAGGATTTTATTTCCCAGTACCATTTCTCAAACAAGAGAGCTCTCCACTCCAGCTGTCCCACCCTGCCCACTCTCAATGAGTGAATTAAATTGGGCAGCTGGAGCTCCCCAGGCACAGAGACCGGCAAGGGGTGCAGGAAAGTGAGAAGTTTTAGAAGCTGTCGCTCTCCCTCCCCCTCAGAGCAGCAGGAGCACATCATGCCACATCTACATCACAAAGTTAACCTAGCCACAGCTGTAAAAGCCATTTCTGCCCCTCTGCTCCAGCTTTAGAAAGAGAGATACTTACTCAATCTCATCAACCTCATACTTTCAGCCTGTCCTTACAGTATGTAGCATTACCTCAGAAGAACAACAACAAAAAAAAGTCCGTGTAGAAAATGAATCCTACAAGGCACCTCCTGCTACATGCCAATACTTCCAAAAGTCGCTCATCGATATGGGACTGCCTGAACAGCCAAGATCTTTTCAAAAGGAGTCAGCCTCCCACATCACACCACAGCCCTGCAGAAACAGCAGAGCACTGAGGAACCTGACCTGATACTCAGCAGGACTCGGGGGCTCGCACTGCATTTCACACACTGTGCACCCTGGCCTTGTGGGCCAATATTCTGCTTGGAAATGGCAGGAGTGGATTCCATCACTGAAGCAGTCTCGCCTCATCTGTCCTAGCAGCAGCTGCAGGAAAAGGAAAAGCTTTTTCTGTTGCACTGGTAGGCAGCCACTAACTACCCAGTGATATAACGCCACTGAGTTCTCCATATCCAAATGGTGTGGAATTACCGGCAGTTACTACATACGCAGTATCTCGCACATCTGGGTACCACAAGAACATCACGTTGCACCACAATGTCAGCTACAGTGCTAGGTGCCTTTTTGTTAGCTGAATCTATGTACTACTGATAGTTGTTCAATTCAACCCAACATACCTTGGGATCTGCATGAAAGGTACCCAAGATCCATTCAATCTGAAACATATGTTTCACTCAACCTACTGACTACCAACATTGTACTAGAAAAAGGTATTAAGGTAATGCTACGAAGATATTCACGTTTGGAAACAGCCAGAGAGACTCTGGTATGAATCTTGCATCCAAAACCCCAAAACTTTTTTTTTTCCCCCCAGTTAATTCCCTAAGCTGCAGAGGGAAAACAATAAATAGGCTGCTTTGCAACAAAAGAGCTGCTTACTGACACAGTTTCTGTAAACTGGGTGCCTGATAGGAACATGTCTCCCTGGACCATGGGCTGTGTCAGAGACCAACAAACACCCGTTGCTACTTATGTGTTTGTCCTATTGTGCTGTTTCTGGAATAAAAAGCTATCTGTATGTGATCCTTCCTGGGCACTCAGAGCTACCAAAGGAAAAGCACTGGCCTGTCAAAAATCTACTTCTGAAAGTGTGAGCCCAGTATTTAAGGCAGCCTCTCTCAAGAAGCCAGGGCCTGTTAACACCTTTGGCTCAGACACATTTCTCTGAAAAAAACAGTAGGTATTGCAGCTACTAAAGACAGATGAAATCTATGAGCAATATGACATCAAAGCAAAGACATTATTGACAGGTAGCTAAATGCACATGAACTGGAGGATTTGGTTTCCCACCAGCAGCATTGGCTCTTGGATCAAATGAGCATGGACCTGAACCAATACCTCAACAGACTTGGTGATCATTCTCAAATGGAGACCCTCCCTTTCCCTAAAAACTACTCGGAGCCACTTAGATTTGTTGGTTTGTCGCATACTACACTGCCCTATTCCACTTAGGCTAAAGAGAAAGAATCAAAACTTGAGATCTCAGAGCCCAGCTTTACAATAGCATATGGCAACTCCCTGGCAAATTGCAAAATACCTGACATTTAAAGATGGATCACATAAAATCAAATGATATCCACTCTCCAGAAGACAGAATGCTATTACATTAAATTATTTTTTAAAGAGAATCTGAAAGGTAGAGACTTAAAAGAATTTAGATGTGCACTTCAATACTCTCAGCTCCACAAGCTAAGATGGCCTCTAAGCCACTACTGTCTTCAGGACAACCTTTCCCCTCAACGCAGAGCTCTGCTTTGCGAAGCATAGACAGCAGCCCTCGCTGCCATGAGGCACCGAGCTGCAGGCTGCATCACCTTGCTGAGGAAGTCCTGTCCTCTAAGCACAGGCTTAAATTGATTTCCTTCAGCTGGATACATAAAGCTCATTTTGACGGACAGATGTTGATATCTAAAGTTAATCAGATAACCCACTCTGCAACTGTCACCTTTGGCTTTCATCATTAATGGAGACAATCAGGGGCTCTAATGAACAATTGATCTGATTCTAAGGCAGCCATCTAAAACTGACCAAAAGCACCGTGCTAACTGCCTGCCTTCCCTTCCTCTCACTATTTATTATAAAAGGAGCCTAAGCAAATAGCTTAGCTACACCTACAATACAGACATCAAAAGTAACGCTGAGAATCCCAGCCCGAACATCCAGACACAGCTCTTAATTCAATTTCCTAAATGGGGGCACTTTGGTTTTGGATGCCTAAAGTACACAGAAGCCACTGGCTATGCCAAAAGTCCCCTGGAGGGCCATTTCCCTGCAGTAAGTTCTCTTAAATACTGGAGTTTAAAAAGCAGGCTAGCTGAAACGCTGCTGTAGGGCTTCCTCCAGAACGTTTGGTTCAGAAAAATAAGGAGCTGTTCAATCTTACTATCAGACCACAGCAACAAATACATACTTCCAAAACCA